AAGTCTTTTGATGCACTTAAGTGTCTGATTTTTAGGATGTTTTAAAAGTTCATCTGTTTTGTCCTCTGCTGTGTGTGTATGTGTTTTGTGGTCATATGGTATGATTTCTATAGTTTCCCATTTAGGTTTTTAATCTATCCTGAGCTCATGTTTGTATAGGCAGTGAGTATGGGGACTGCTTCATTCTGCAAATGGAGATTCCATTTTCCCAGCATAGTTTGTTGAAAAGATAATCTCTTCCCCATTTATTGCATTTCAGCCCTTGGCCAAAAAAGTATCTGTCTATACGTGGGTGGATTTGCTTCTGGGTCCTCGCTTCTGTTCCATCGGTCTCTGTGTTGACTGTACTGCACTGGGCTGTATTGCCGGCCCTGGCTGCAGAGTGGGTTTTGAGACTGTGCACTTTGTTCTTTGTGAGTAGTGCCTTGTTTATCCCAAGTGCCTTTCCTGTCCATATCAAGTCGATCATTTGTTTTGCCCTCTCCATTAGGAATGCTGCTGGGATCTGGATTGGGATTGTATTATGTTTATAGATCACTGTGGGTAGTGTTGACATTTTCACAGTGTTAATATTCTCATCCATGAGCATGGTTGATTCTTCCATTTTTGTAGATCTGTTTTGGTTTCTTATAGCAGTGTTTTGTAGTTTTCTTTGTACAAGTCTTTTATATGTCTGATGACTTATAATCCTGAGTATTTTATCTTTTGGGTGGTACTGGTATATTGTATTGTTTTCTTGATTTCCTTATCAGTGTTCTATTTGTTAGTATACAGGAATATGACTGATTTTTGTTTGTTGATCCTGTACCTTGCCATGCTACTAAATTTTTCAATTCTAACTTTTTAAAAAAGTTTTTGGGTTTTCTGGGTATAGAATCATATCATCTGAGAGTTTTATGTTTTCTTTGCCAATTTGGATGCCTTTGTTGCCTGGTAGCTTTGGCTAAGATTTCCAGCACAATGTTGAATGAGTGGTGGGAAAAGTCCTCTTTGCCGAGCTCCCACTGGTAAAAGGAGCGCTCTCAGCTCCTCTCCATTAAGCAAGATGTCGGCCATTGGCTTTGTCTGGCTTTTATTGTGTTGAGGAATTTCCCTTCTATTCCCATTTTGTTGA